TCCATGGTGCATCTCTGAGAGCAGAACCCCAGGCCTCCCCAGGCCCTATGTCTACTCTTAGAAAGTGTATACCACGCCGAGCCCATCAACCTCTCTGAGCCTTATTACCCTAGGACAGGGTGGGGGCTGGGGTTGAGAGGGAGGCAGGCAAAAGCCTAGACCTTCTAAGTAGGGGTGAAGCAGGGCCCCTCATAGAGCTGGGTGGAGAATGTATTAGATGGGGAGGGGCTGCAATGGAAGCCAGGGGGAGGTGTGATGGGTTGAAATGGGCCCCAAAAGATTATGTCTATGTCCTAACCAACACCCAGAATCCATGGGTGTGGCTGTGCTTTGAAAACAGGTCTCTACAGATATCACTAAGTTAAGGATCCAGAGATGAGGCCATCCGGGGTTATCCTGATGGACTCTAAATCCCAGGACAAGTGTCCAGAGATAGGAGAGAAGTCAGGGACCAGGCCACGTGAAGGTGGGAGCAGAGGCTGGGTGAAGCCTACACAACTGAGGTACCCATAAAGCTGCCGGAAGCTGGAAAAGGCAGGGAGGACCCTGAGTGGGAAGCCCTGGGTGGGGAGTGGGCTGCTGGCACCTTGGTTCCTGACCTCTGTCTCTGAAGAGAAAGAAACTTCGGTTGTTCTCAGCCACAATACTTGGGGGTGGGAGCTATGTGCATGTAGGAGGTGGGGGGACCCTGGGCCATGATAAATACTTTTTTTTTTTTGAGGAACCAGGGATTGAACTCAGGCCTTTATGTTTGCCAGGCAAGTGCTTATTCCACTGAGCCATGTCCCCGGCCCGATAAATACTTTAATTATCCATTTCAATCTCCAGGTGAGGCAAAACCCAAATACTCTCCTCCTGCCTGTGCCTGGAGAACGGCCACAACGCCTCACCAACATGGGCCACAATGACTGTGCCCCATGCCACACAGCAGGTGACCCTCTGTATCTATATCTCTGGGGTCTGCATCTGCGGTCCAAACAACCTCTTATCAAATAGGTCTGAAAAACAAACAAACAAACAAACAAACAAACAAACTACATCTTCACTGAACACATGCGGATGTTTTTCTCATCATTCCCTAAACAATGCAGTGTAACAACTGTTTCCCTAGCAGTTAGCGTGTACTCGGTAGGACAAGTCATCTAAAGATTATTTAAAGTACACAGAAGGATGTGTGGAGGTTGTGTGGAGGTGCTATGCCACTGGCCATAAGTGACTTACGCATTCGCAGCGTTGGGGATCTAAGGAGGGTCCAGGAGCCTCTCCCCCTAGGTATCTCAGACAGCAGTGATCCTCCAACCTGGAATTGGAGGAGGAGGGGTGGATTTTTTCCCCCAGGGCACATATGACAATATCTGGAGATATTTTTGGTTGTCACAACTAGCGGATGTTCCTGGCATCCAGTGGGCACAGAGCAGCCATGATTTTACAAGGGCTGTCCACTTCCTTCCACCTTCTACTGCCGCAAGGAGTCACCCAGGCCCTGACGTGCACCACACTGAGGCTGAGTAACTGTGACGTGTGCTGTGATCTGAGGCCACGCACAGGCCTCAGCTCTCCCCAGACTGTGGCCTCACCTTCAGCACACCATGCATATTACCTGCCAGGGAGCTGACGGCTCGGTTACATGCTCCTTGAGGCGGCTGTACAGGGAAGGGTGCTGCCTGCTTTCACTGCATCTGTCTCCCTGTGCTGTAATGGGGCAGGTCCTCAATAACAGCTGAATACAGAGGGGACCAGATGTACAGAGCCACAGGAGCCTCAGGCCCAGCACATGGCAAGTGCTCACAGGGTATTGGCCAGGGTCTTGCTGTCCTTCCAAAGGTACCGTCTGGCTACTGAGATGGGGGGATCCACATTTCCAGAGCCCAAATTCCCCAGAAGCAATGTGGAATGCGCTCATGAAGCACCTCCTGCATACCAGGGCCATGTTTGCCCCAGTTTGATCAGTCCCACTGACCAACTTCCAGACAAATCCCATTTGAATCATTTTCCAGATGGGAATGCTAAGGCTGGAAGAGGTCACTGAACTTGGCTGAGGTCATCCAGCTGTCACTGGGTAGAGCTGAGACTTGGGCCCAAGTTAGATTGTAAAGCTCTCTCTGTGCAGCATACAGTGGCCCCAGGGACAGCCCCACCCGCCCATACATGCACACTTCCTGCTTTTATTCTAACCTAGGCTGCAGTGGTATTGCCATTGTTCCTGGGTTCTGGAATTTTCTGCTGGCCTCTAACTGGAGTCTGCCTGGTCTCCTCAGCTAAACCCAGCATGTCAGGCTCCTTCCTCAGGCCCAGGCATGCACTGGGCTGCAGCACGAACACACCCCTTCCTGCCTTTGAGGGTCAGGACAAAGCATTTGTTTTTCTCTTTTCCCCCCTTTTATTCCTGGACCTGGAGGCTGGCTTCAGAAAACAGTTTGGGGCACACCTGCCTTTGAGGGCCTCCTCGTGACAGGCCTGAGGCACCATGCTGGATGATTCTCCAGCTAAGTCACCCACAAGTAGAGGGCACAATACACTGATCCTGTCCCGCCAGACCCTTGCTACAGGTGCTGCTACAGGTCAACTGTCTGTGCTTTAAAAGTTTCCTCCCCTAAAACAAATATTTAAGTGAAGGGGTGTGTGTGCGTTTTCCAGCTCACTGGAAATCTCTAAAGGAATAGTTTAAGAGAGGAGATTTGGCTGTCACAAGCGTTCATGTCCAAGGTACCAGTACCAATTGCAAGCACAGCCATGTTTACCATCTGAAGGCTGGGAGGACCAAGGTCAGGCTCAGAGAGCAGCAGGCTGCCTAGGGTAACAGAGGTAACAGCATGATTCGGTCTCAAGCAGGAGGGCCCAGGGTCCCCACGTTTCCTCTGCAGCCTTCATGAGTTTCATCCAGATCCTGTCCTTGTCCTCCTGAGGCAGAGCAACCCAGCCTATAAATGCACACCTACTGTGTGCCTGACCCAGCTGGGAGCCCACACCAGACTCACAGCAAGCCCGTAGTGTCTTCACCTGATAGAGAAGGCAACTGTGTTCTAATAAGCAGGCAAAGCCTTTTGGCCAGCCTTTGGCAGGTCTGATTCAACTGTGTCCAGCTGATCCAGCTGGTGCCCACTGTGCCAATGCTAAGTGGGATGGAGGCAGTGACACAAGTCTGCTTGGCACACATTTGCCCACTGGAGGCCTTGAGCTACCTACATCATTCATTCCCTCTCAGCTCATATGGACCCAGCCCGTTGGTGGCACCAATGTGCATGGTATCTTGAGGTCTAGGGACTGTGGGTCCCACAGGGCAACAGGGTGGAGGCGAGGTGAGTGGAGCTTGCACATTCCAAGCCCCACACCCTTAGCTGCAACGTCACAAGAGAGTATAAGTAGGAGAGAGAACTCAAGGCAGGGACACACAGGGACAGAGATAGGGGCAGAGAGGCAGAGACAGAAACAAGAGAAGGAGACAGCAAAAGACAGGCACAGAGAGATGCAGAGAAAAGGGAGGAAACAGACAGACAGATGAGATGAAAACACAGACAGAAGGAGAGGTCTGTCCCTGGGCTAAGTCACACCCCCTAGAAAATGGGTTGGGGCTCTGTTGCATAAATCAAGCCATACTAATTTATGTGAAGCACAAGAGAGCACAGACCTGCAAGAGGAGACATCCCCATCATGAGACACATGTCATGCTCAAGTGCTTGGCTTCTGACTTGGCTTTGCACCTGCTGCTGACTGCTGTGTGACTCAAGGTGAGGCCACGCACCTCTCTGGACAGGAGGGATGCTGAGTCCCTGTACCTATCAGCAGCCTCAATATAGCCAGGGCTCCTCCTGGGTGCAGGGTCTCTTGGGGGCCATGAGCACTGGTGGCAAGGAGGAGCCCATAGAACTGCTTGAGCCCTCTGCCCATCCTCAGATGCTGCTGTGGACAGGGCTGGTACAGCAGGGACAGAAGTCTTCTATGTGAACACACAAGCCCTCTCTTGGCTGAGTCCTGGTTGGAGAAGGCCTGGAGAAAGCATTTGCCAAGAAGTGGGCTGGACAGAGCCTGTGTAGGGAGCCCAGAGCCCTGGGTTCTGACTCTGCCTCTTTTCCCCTGTGCATGCCCAGGCAGCTTCCTATGTCTTTCTGAGGTTCCACTCCTCAGATCTTTAGAGTCCTCCAGACTTGTTCCGCACCAGCCCAGCTCTGATCATCAGCTCTGTCGACCCCAGCTCTAGTGAGCCAGATGAGATGCTGGGGAACTCCAAATCCCAGCTGCGGCCCCCTGGCGGGGGCTCACTCACACCAATTCCAAGGCTCACAGGCCAGAGGGAAAAACCACCTGTCACCTCAGATCCCCTAAGGCCCTGTCCTTTGGTAATCAGAGGAGAATTACACTTAATAAATAACGACAACAGCCCCAAACCAACACGCATGCACATAACATGGACACTCAGTCATTCTGGGAGGGCGAGAGGAGACGGAGCAGGTGCCAACTAATCCTCCCTAAAAATAGGGGCGACAAGCATTTGTGTCCTGTAAATGAAGCTGGAGCAGTCACACTTTAATCAACCACAAAGCAACCGAAGCTCACAAGGTACACATACACAGAACCAAGAGTGCGGTTCTTGACCAAGGCCAGGCCAGGGAGCAATCCCCGTGCAGGGAATCTCCCCACTGAGGAGCCCCCTCCCCAGAACCCGGAAGAGCAGCCGCTGGGGCTCTGATTGGCAAAAACTCTGTAGAGAGTAACTCCCCAGGCTTGGTGTTCAGACGCCCTCCCTGCGAGTTCGGGTAGGGAGGAGTTTTCACTGCTGTTTTAGTATTTTAAGCAACATAACAAGCTTACAATATCTGGGGGCTCCGCGTCCGGCTGTCTTTTCTTTAGCGATGAGAATCTCTGTTGGCTGCGTGCAGAGAAGCGGCGGAAAGATTCCCTGCTGCGGGAGGCCAGGTGGCGGAAGGAGGAGGTGCTGCGCTTGAAGGGGCTCCGGCCAGAGGGCTCTGTGCTCGACCGCTCGTGGCCCACCGTGCTGCTCACTAAGTTCAGGGCTTCCTGGAAGGACCTCCGCACGGTGCCCACCCACTGGGTCATGTGGGTCTGGGCTACTGTGAGCTTGTCTCCCAGGTAATCCATGGGGCCGGCTGGGAGGGGAGGGCAGGAGAGAGGAGAGTGTGATCCAAAGGCAGGCAGCGCGTGTCCTGCGCCTGGCTCTCCTGCTGGCTGCCTGGGCTCAGGAAGTTCTGGGCTTGCTGGAGCAGAGAAGCCAGTAGCACGCGCACGCTTCAGCCAAATCAAGGGTAAATACACATCAGGGAGCGGGGAGCTGCCCGCGCAGGGCGCACGCGGAACGAAGGGGCAGAGGCAGCAGGGGCTGCCCAGAGTCCGCTGGAGTTGGGAGCGAGGCTGGCCAAGGGTCCAGTCCAGTACGGAGCGCTCACCCTGCTGGATGCCAGCGGCCGGCAGCGATCCCTCGGGGTGTGACAGTTCCAGACAGCCCGGGAGCCCAGGGTGGGGGCGGGCAGGAGTGCGGGCTCCACGCCCTCACTTCGCTTCAGGTAGGGGCCCGTCGGAAGCCTGGCTGAAGGTCCCGAGAGCCACGGCCACCCGCAGCTGCCTACAGCCCCTCTGCTCACCTGACCCACGCAGGTTTCTGTCCTGGGGCTGTAGGTGCTGAACCTGTGAGCCGGCGGACAGCTAGCTCATTTCCGGAGGCAGCCACCGGCCCGGGTCTCTTGGCCGAGCAGTCCAGGATGACATCAACCCCCGTCTTAGCAAGGGGCTTCGCAGCCCAGGAATGCAGGAGGGGCCTCAGGGAGGCGGCCGCCCAGGGAGCTGACATCCGCCCCCATTTTTTTCCCCTAAGTCCCAACTCACTGGCTGTCCCTCGGGGCTGACGGTGACTTCACACTCCTGACAGGCTGCCCGCCCCTGTGCCCTCACCACAGGCGCACGCGGAAATGCGGCGGCACGGGCGTGCATGTGGGCGCATGTGTGTGTGCGTGTGTGGGCATGTATGTTGGCGATGGGCAGCCGGGGGAGGTCGGAACTGCGGGGAACAGCGGCCTCTGCCTGGCGGGCTCCAGGCGGCGTCTTGGGACCTCAGCCGCTGTCAGTCTGTCTCCCCCTCCTGGCGCCGGTCAGTTCTTCATTCCTCCCTTCCCGGCCTCCGTGTCTCCAAGGCTTCTCTCTTCCCAGCTTCTGCTCCCTCCCTCTTGCCTTTCAGGCTTTCTCACTGCCACCTCCCAGGAACACAGCACTGAGCCAGGTGAGGCAGCTCGGAAGGTCCCCTCCTCCCGCCCCCACCACCAAGATCTGACACCGGCTGTATTTTGGGGCAGGGTTACCATGGCAACAGGGGGGTGGGCACAGCATCTGCCCCATCCAGGGAAGGCAGCCTGGCAGCAACTGGAAAGTGTCATGGTTTATAGGGGTCACGTGTGAGTTTGCTGGGTTTTAACCCTTGTGGGGCTGGAGTGTTTGGGGGATGGGGAGAGAAGAGAACACAAAATGAGGACCCTGGGGGTGGGTGCAGGTCAGTACAACTGGATCCTGGACTGCAAGGCTCGGGGACCCAAGCCTTGCTGCCCCCTCTACAGATGAGGACATGTAGACTCAGAGAGGTCAATCCATTTGTCCAAGGACACACAGCAAGATTCCTACCAGGACACACATGGGAGCTGCCTCTTGCCACAACTCTGACTAGTACCTAGCCCACACAGAGGGCTCAGTAAATATTTATTGTCGGAACACGAGATCCATGGCAGAAATCCAGATGGGTCCAAATGTCCCATGTTCTTTCCTCTCCCTCACCTCCATTCTGAACAAATATTTGCCCTCTAGACCCTGGTCAAAGGGCTAGCCCCAGGAAGTTTGACATGAAAGCCTCTAACAGTGTGGCCTACAGATCTCCTGGTCCTGGATTCCTGGTCCTTGTGGTGGGTCACCTGTTCTGAATGTATACTCTGGTGTGGTCCCAGGACATGAGACTAAGACATTCCTGCTGCAGAGGGACCAAAGCAGAGAGTTCAGGTGGGGCAGGTGGCTCCTGAGGGTGAAACCAAGTGCTACAACCATTTTAACCTCACTGGATGCACGCCTGGACTGGCCAGAGCACCCACTTGACAGAGGAGGAGACTGAGGCCAGGGAAGTACCATCAGCCACCCTGGTCACACAGCCTGACCTGCTGCCCAAGACAGCCCCACAGATCCTTGTCTCCCGCTGTGTTGCCTACGAGCAAGGCTGGTCCATGTGCCCAACACAGGAGGCAGAAGCATGGGTGGCTTCCCGAGTGTGTGCGTGGATGGTGGCAGAGCCTTGGCTTGTCTAGGAGGTGGCCCTGGGGCAGCCAGCAGCTGCCACGGTGGAGGACGCTCAAGAAGCCCCAAGGCCAACCCCTTGTGGGGAGACTCTGAGCACCCCCCTCCCTGCTAATCATTGGGTGAACTGCCATGAAGTGGGTTTCCTGTCCCTGGTCAGACACTTAGAGAACTGCAACCCTGGCCAACCTCATAACCCTACATAGCTCATGGGAATAAGCCATCAGCCTGGCCAGTTTCCAGACCCTTACAAATCCCAAAGCACAAATGCCCAGAATGGGACCTGGCCCAGGAAGAAACAGGAGAAACTAGGGGCAGTGGTGGGGTCGGTTCAGGCGGTGAGGGGCAGGGCCACACCCTATAGCCTATCAATATGTCAGTATGCACGGTCCCAGGACACTGGCAAAGAAACAGGAAAGGGCCAGACACTGCCCCCAGGCACAGCACTGGCAGCCTCCTTGTGCTGGGGCTGCCTGGGAAGCCCTGGAGCTGGTCACTGAGAGACTTCAGGTGGCGACAGGTATGAGAAGAGCCATACCAGAAGGGCTGGAAAGAGACGCAGCTTTGTGCCCTCCAGCTGCACATAGAGGAGAAAGTATACTGGGAACAGGTGAATCTTTCAAGAAGGAGAAAGAGAAAGCAGCAGGAAAAAGTGCTTGAAAGGGTCACACCCAGTGTCCACAAGTCATGGCGTCTCCCCCATGGGCAGAGATGGGAACTGGTGGATTTCCCAGAAGTGCAGCACCCTCGCCCCAAAGTCTTTACAAACAGTGGCCTGCCAGTTCATGGCATGCCTGCCCGGGCAGAGGGCTAACGTGTGCATGTCCATCACTTAACTCTGAGAAGCCTTTTTAAAAACAGATGGCCGGACTTTAATAAGGCAGACAGAGCAAAATGTGAGCAGAATTTAGCTGGTGGTGTATGTGTGCTGTTTTTTTTTTTTCTGGATGTGAGTTTTTTTTTTTTTTTTTTTTTTGGTAAAAGGCTGGGATGGGGGTGCGGGACTTTTGACCCTGTGGTTACTGATCTAGTTCCGAGGCCAGAATCTGCTTTGGAAATAAAAATGGATGGATACAAATGCTGCGCCACAGAAATGGGATCACAGCCGCGTGTACTATTAGGAACAATTAGTAGCACCCTAATCGTTCCATAAAAAGGGATCTGCACAGCCAGAGTTAAAGGAAGGAGCCAGAGGTGAGGAAAAAAAGAACTAGTTATATCGATCCTGTCTTTATTTATAGTATTGATTCTCTGTTCACCATGGATTTTTGCATTAATTTCAACTTTAAAACACTGAATTAAAACCAAACACAGTAGCACATGCCTGTAAGCCTAGCCCTCTGGAAAGCTGAGGCAGGTGGACTGAGGTGTAAGCCCAGCCTGGCATCTTAAGGACTGAGTGAGATCCTGTCTTAAAATTAAAAAAAAAAAAAAAAAAAAAAAAAAAAAACTATTATTTATCTCAACCACTGATTGTTCTCTGGGGCTCCATAATTTGATGCGCTGAGAACCTGCTTCAGCGCCCACCCCAAGCAATGGACCAGCAAAATCAGTAAAGTGCTATGTAAGAGTTGGGAGGTCACTGGTAGCTCTTTTTTTTTTTTTTTTTTTTTTTTGGCCATGTGACCCCCAAGTTACTTAACCTCTCTGACTTTCCAGACATGTGGCCTCATCTGAGGGCAACCTCCCACCAGTTGTGTGCCCACGTTGACCTTGGGCTCCGCAGCCAGGGAGCCCAGCCTGAGCCCACTACCACCACCTCCCTGCTGAAGGGCGCTTACTATGCGCACGCAAGGAACGCACTGCGTCACTACGTTGCGCCGCTGCAATACATCATCGTGTTACATCACCATATTACATCATCTTGTGTCGCTGTCATCCTATTGCGTCTCTGTATGACGTCACTGCCCCCTCCCTACAACACAACCGGGCTTGTGTTATGCTCAGCACTCCCCTTTTTACAGATGGGGAAACTGGGGCAGAGAGAAGTTCGGTGATCAGCCTGAGGCCACAAAGCTGATAAGTGGTGTTTGCGCTCCCCACCTCCCACCTCTGCCAAAGAGGAACACAAACACGTCCTGGTCTTTGCTGACTCCAACTGGGCGGGAGGCACGAGGCAGGAAAGGAGAGGCCACATGGCTGGCCAGCCGGCTGCCTGCCCTGCCCTGTCTGCTCCATCCGTGGGAAAGGGAGCGGGAGCCTGTGGAAGCGCAGGGTGAGGGCCGGCTCACTCAGGGCCTCCTGTAGGTACGCTGTGGTCTGAAGTGACTATAAAAAGCCCCGCTCCCAGAAAACTGGGCCAGCACAAACCCTTCCTCCCGGAGGACTTTCCACTCCTCTCTTCTCTCCAGGAAACTCTTGGGATGTTGCTGAGCACCAGAAAAGGGAAAGAAAAAAAAAAAAAAAAAACCCAAAATCCCCTTATGTAATGGGACCAAAAAATCTCAGGGAAGCTGCTGAGCTCCAGGAAACAAACAGGCATTCTGTCTGGGATGGGAGGTGGGACCCAGAGACCACCGGCCAACTCCCCTTGACTCTGCAGTTACACAAATCAGAACATGTTGGCCATGCATCCACGGAATGACCGTTTCCTGACGGGTTACTCTGTGAGCTGTGTGCGGATCCCGAGGAGGGCCACAGTCTCTGAAGAACTCGGGGTATCTTTGAGTCTCACACATCAAAGGAGAAAGGTGTCCCCAAAGATTACTCAAACCTAAGGTTCTATCGTTTTCTCCCCCAGATCAGATATAAACAGACACACTTCTGGAATTTCTTGTCCAGTAGAAGAAACAGCCAGAAAAAAGTTACAAGTGTCAAGGGCTGGGATGGTCAAGTGAATAAGAGAGAAGGTGAAATCCAACCCAGAAAGTAGGTTGAGGAAAGAAGAGTGAAGACATGATCATTTACCGAGGGCTTCAGGGAGAGGGCTATCAGAATGGGGCTTTGAAAGAAGAATAAGAGTACTCCAAGAAGGCACCCAGAGAGCAAAGGCCAGGAAGAGTGGCCACTTGCCCTCTTCATTGTGGGTTCTGACCGCTCACTGAGGCCTAGAGGGGCCTTCCTTGCTCTCCTATATCCCTTAACCGGCAGCCTTTTCCAAACCTTCCCCAGGAAGCCTTGCTGACATGGCCCTCTTTCCATCCTGCCTCCTGAAAGAGCAGCCATGCCAGGCCACACAGCCCAGGCCATCAAGTGCATAAAGAAGGCGGCGCCAGTCGCACCCACATCACACCGACTCAGCTTGCAGAACAGCCCCAGAGGGCACGCCCTGCTGAGGACAGGCCCCCTGGCTGAGGGTCATGGGGCTGACCAGTGCGGCTCTGGACTTGAAGCGTCTGATTCTCTAAGCCTGGGTGGGCCTGGTCCAGCCTCCTTGGAGACTTCTCAGAAGGGCATCTCCCAGGCTGAGGGTGCACCGGTTCTGTGTGGGAGGTCAGGATGCCCAGCAGAGGCCCTGGTCAGCGGCGGCCCTGCATACCTCCAGAGAACCTAAAGGCAAGCCAGAGTACGTGTGTCTGCTGCCCAGCAAACACTCTACAGATAGATGGTGGTCAGAGGCATACGTATTCCATTAGGTGCAGCCCACTGTGAGATCAGGGTTCCTCGCTGGCTCGCATTCAGTTGTGCGCATGCGCTGTTCCCTCTGCCCGACACCATCCGGCCCTGTCTGGCTGGTGAGGACCAGCTTCTGTTGTTCTCCATATCTCGGCTTAGATGCCCCCTCCACTCCAGGAAGCCTCCCCGGATTCCTCTCACCCTCAAGAATCTATCTCTGGGCTCCCATCCTGTCTCTATTATCCTTGCCCAGTTGAGCTGTGACTTGGTTTACCCATCAGTCTCCCCACCAGATGCTGCAGCTGTGTGCGGCAGGAACACCCTCAACAGACACCCCCGCGCCCCGCCGCATGCCCACCGTGGGAGATGATGGGATTACTGCAGCTTGGACCCCAGTCACAGAACTCTCAGCAGCAGACTGGTTTCCAAGGCAACAGGGAAAAGAATTCTGATAAGGGGGAAAAAATAGGAATGACTCGATCTTCCGAGTTGGTCCCCGATTATTTATAAACCAAGCCCGTGCCTATTTCCTTGTGTTCCCTTATCACATTCCTCTTCATGTAGTCATTTAATGACCTAACATGCCTTTAATTAACCTTGGGAGAAGCCAAACAGAATTGGCCAGAAAGGGGAATCTTTCTAGAAACAGCCAGAAACTCGCAGCTCTTCTTTCCTGGCCCCACCCTCAGCTCAAGTGGGACACAGCATTTTCCAAGCTAGGGAGTGTCTGTGGTGGGGCGAGTCTGTCATCCCAGCTCCTCCTCCCTGAGCTGGGAGCCAAATACAGTGGCTCCAGACCTCCTCTAAGGCGGGGGCATCGCTGGGACCCCAGGATGCTGAGGGACCCACCCCTGCTCTGAGGGGCATCCTGCTAGGCTCTGTGTGTGGCTGCCCCGCCCGCCTGCAGTTGGAGAACATGTTGCCCTCCTCCCGGCAGCTGAACTGCCACATCTTTGGATCAGTTTCTGAAAGAAAGCAAGATGTTCTTGGGCAGCAATAACTTGGAACTGGCATGAGGACACACGGTGTCCCCAAGACATTTATTTCTGAGCGGTGGCTATGCAGCACTTGGCTGAGCTGCCCCCAGGCAGCACCCTGAGATGCTAAGGTCCCCAGAAGGATAATAAAGGAGGAGTGGAAGGACTTTCTTGCCCTGCTGCCTCCCTCCTGTCCTCCTACCTTCAACAAGCATTCTGAGGCTCTACTATGCATAGAACACCATGCAGGGGCTGGGGGACAGCAGGCCATTACATTTGGGTGTGTGCAAATACAACATCAGTGTAGCTGTCACTTGCTGAGGACCTACTGTGTGCCCTATCCCCCTCTTCACCTGTAGAACTCTGAATTTCCTTGAAATTCTTAGATTGGAAACTGAACTCCCAGCACAGCAGCATTGGAAGGAGGGGCCTAGCGGAGCACGGAGGTCATGAGGCCTTTGATGACAATGGACTGATGTCCCTATGGCAAGGGCTTGCAGGGGCACTAGGCATGCTGTGTGTCTCTCACTCTGTGTCTCCCTTGCTTTTCTGCCACATGAGGACAGGGCTTCTCTCTCATCCTTCACTTTGCTGTGTGTCTCCACATCAAGGTTTTCAGTAGATGCTGGTGCACTGACTTTGAGATTTCAGACTGTACATACCAGGGAAGGAAACAGCTCTGCTCTGTACACATCACCCACTCTGGTCTGCTGTCATAGTAGAATGGAGCAGGCTGAGCTAGCCAGGAAGCCCTGGAGCCCCATTGTATAGATGGGGAAACCAAGGCTCCCAATAGTCCAGATTCTAGGCTGTAAGGTGTGGCCCTCCATGTCTAATAGCCACAGGCCTTGGGCCTGGGGCTCCCCACCTATTCCTGTCACTGTGGAGTATAGAAGAGGTAGCCACAGGAGGAAAAACTACCTGGCATGGTCCTCTTCACCCCCTCTGACTTCACTTCTCCTCCTTGGACTTGGGTCAGCTAGGAACAACACTGGGCTCCCCAGGACAGCTTTGGGACCCGCACCTACCACCTTCAGTTCCAAGGACTCAAGCACATCCATGGTTTCAGCAATAAGGGTTAGCGGCCCCAGAGGGCATAATAATAGTTTGAACACTGAGGGCTTTTGTTGTTTTCTGGTGGTACTGGGACACCCTACCACTGAGCTGCACACCTAGCCCTTCCTATGTTTTATTTCAAGCCCTGGCTCTGCTATGTTGTCTGGGCTGGGCTCAGGCTTGTGCTCGTCTTGCCTCAGTCTCCAGAGCTGCTGAGACCACACAGTAGTGGCTCTGTGGGGCACAGGATCAGGATGAGGAGTCTGGGCAAATGGGAACCACCCAAAGACCAACAGAAGCAGCGGAGACAGGGGTAGGGAGCTGAGCCGCCTCCAAGGCCTTGCATGTGGACTGGAAGTCAAGGCCATTTCTGTGCTTCACACTATAGCTGAAGATGTGTGAAACTGAGCCCCTGAATGCTCTCTGCTTGGTGCCTTGGCACACAGAGGTGGCCCCTGGAGAGAGCTGTGGGTAAGTAGCCTTAATGTCATGACAGACCCTGTGTTCTTCTGAGTCCCCAGGTGCTGGGGCTCTGCCTGGGGGGCAGGGCTAGTCAGCAGTCCTGAAAACAGCTCCTCTGTTGGAGGAGACCAGACCCGGGCACACACTGCTTTTCTCACAGGCTTTGGGCTTCAATTTTTGTATACAACACGTTGAGGACAGGAAGGGCTCCTGGCTCAGCCCTCTGCCTGCCGTCTGTACTGGCCAGGGACCCAGAAGCCCTGTTTCCACATCCTCCTGCTCAGGCTGACCCCAGGGACAGTTCTGCTCTTGGAGTCCAACAGGAAAGCCAGCCTTCTTCCCTCTGCAGTGTCCTTCAAAGGAGACACTGGTCCAGCCAGAGAAGAGTAGGGCCAGAGAAGAGGCAAGAGAAAGCCAGAGGATAGCCAGACGGTGGAGGGCCAGGGAAGTGACAGAACCACAGGAGAAAGCGAGTAGGGCTGTGGGGGTAGGTGGGGTGACAGGGCAAGTCTGGAGGATTCTAGGTCATCAGAAGGACCGGAGCTTGTCATGGGCTCATGTTCCTCTAGACACAAACATGGGAGGGGATGCTCTGTCCCACACGCTGGCTTGTGACCCTGCACCCTGAACCCTGTGGAGCCGCCTTTCCTCTCTCCATACAGTACACACATTTCCTTGTGGGCTCGAAAATCATATCGCAGAGCAGATGGCGCCTCTGCCATTTTCAGCAGAGGAAATGGAGGCTCAGAAGCGGTCAGTG